CGGTGGTTTTTTTCAAAGCCGCCGGTTACCGTCGGTTTTCACAAAAAAAAGACGACATGGGTTGTCAGAGGGTCTAAAAAGTGTTTCTTTCGTCCAATTAATAGCAGATGCACTTCTCAGTGGTGACCACTATTTTACTTTTTTGTCTATGAATAAATCGAAAAGATTCCAATTTTTTCTATATTAGAACAAGACAAAGAACAACTCAGGTACATCGTTTTTTCTAGCAAAAATACTTTTTGTTAACGGACATCACTGTGAAGATGATTCCCCTGGTAACGAAAGAGGTCCCGTTAAAACAATGGACAATCTTCTCACGCTATACCTCGTTCGCGATTGACTATTGAACTGGAGTTTACTCAGTTTTAACCATTCGTAAATGAAAGTCGTTCAGATTTCTGTTGCGCTTTAAAAATACTTTTTCATTGCTCATCAGATATCAATTTATTATTTAAAAAAATAAAAAAAACATGAAATTCAGACAGACAGCAGACGAAAAAAATGAGAAATAAATAAAAGCATGCATTAAAAACTAAAAAATACACTAAAAAATAACACAGCTACGCACGAAAAAAATTAAAGTCAGCAATTAGTCGATGTATCCATTTGGCTGTCGTGACTTGAATTATTTGGTCTTGCGTAAATCATATGAACCTGTTAGGATGATAAGAATAAAAAGAATTCATAATTAATATACTCATTGCAATGCTTACTCGTTGTTAATAGCGTTTCATGAAGACAGAACAGACGCTGAGTTGGTCATAACAATCTCTAGAAATAAACGATAATGAAGAGTGTTCAGCAAGAAGGAAAGACTGGAAAAGATGAATAATCAATTATTTACATAGAGGGCGCCAAAGTCGAAAAGTATTTTGCTTCGAAAATGGTTATGCGAAATCTCCGAGAAATTCAACATAGAAAGTTAAATTGTAAATCAAAATTGACATCACTGAATAAAAATTCATCCAATAAAATTCGTAGGCGCATAAAAATACTTAAAGTGCATTAGTAACTTTCAAATCTGCTATTAAAAGCATGAGTCATTGGAGTCTGACAATATACCAAAAGAAGAAAGAAAATAAATTCAATACAGTTGAATGATCTTGTTGATGAATGTGTTATTTTATAGAGTATCGAATTAATAGTGACTTTTAATGCATAATACATCCATAATACCAACACATTTTATGTCTTTACCCAACGAGATTGTTTTAATTATCTGGATGTATTTAACTCATACCGAAGCAATTAAAAGTTTTGGCTCAATAAAATGTCGTCGATATATTTATCTATTAGAAAATTATTGTTACAAATCAATTGATTTTTACACGACATCTTTGTCGACTTTTCAACTATGCTGTACTAGTATGATCAATATATTCCGATTAAATGTGAAAATCTTGAAGCTTGGCCATCGAGATTCTTATTCTCAGTTACGTATTTTTTCACAATGTTGCCTTAGTAAGTCAATAATATACTAATAAGGGAATTATAGAGTCCTATCATTATTATTAAATAAACCTGATCAACAAATAAGTTGGTCTATCACCAATGTCGAAAAAGCTCAGCTCCTCAACTGAATCTTTGAGCCTTCCTTCTAGGAAAATTTTTTCGTACGTGTATTTTGCTCGTTTGGAAGGACTCAAAGACCCGTAGTGAGAAGCTAAGTCATCAAGCCCAAATCCATAGGGAACTCTGCTCCCTTCCCCAAAATAAAACTCTAGCTCCACCACTGCCTATAATGTATGTTCTTCTAATTATTTCATTAAAAACAATTTTCTTTTTATTCATTATTTTAAAGAATCATAAAAAAAGATATTATTCATCTATGATGAAAGACTTTAATAGATTTTCTACATTGTTGAATAATACTATACTATACAGGAATAAACTATTGATGAGTTTTTATACTAATATAGATTTCAAGTAAATTTATCATAGATTTATTTCCTTTTTTTATCGGGATTATCTAAAATTAATTCTATAACGTTTACAAAATTGGATATTTGATTAAAAATTTATCATAAATAATTGTTTGCCGTATTTTGTTGACATCTCTCATAATATTTTATTATTTAGAGTTATATTAGCTTTTAAAAATATTTTATATAAACTTGTCTACATCTATATTGGAATATTTAGTTTAATGAATACAAGTTTTAAAGCATCACATTTACTCTTATTTTGAATATTTTCGAAACTGAATTTTTCATATAACTAATAAGATAGAGTTACCAACTGTTCAATTACTTTTAAGTCTCAGAACTATGTTCATCATCTACGTCCTAATAAACTCCGAATACTCTATAAAAAGAATTCGAACAGCTAGTTTATTATTGTCAAAATACTACATATTTTCGGTATTTTTAATCAAACGCGATGTCGTGGTTCCCTCAAGAACCACAAAAACTGAATTTTGACTTAAAGCTTTGCACAAAACCAAGTTGAAATCCGAAAATTAGTTTTTTGTGTACTTTTGAGGTGAACTGCGATATTGTACTCAAAAATATCGTAAAAGTACTGTATCTCAACAGTTGTACGGTAGAACTGTTCGAACTCTTTTCAGCATATTCAAAGTTAATTAAGGTGTACATGATTCACATAGTTCCGTGACTCAAAAGCAATTGAACAGTTGATGATCTTTCTTCATGAATCAATATTATGATTGATGTCTTCGAATATTTATCATATAAATATAATGTAATTTATTTTTGTAGCTTCTTCATCACTTCTTGACATATTTCCGCAATTACAAACGCTCGTAATACGTAATATTCATGAATCTGATGGGAATGAACTTGTACCTTATTTATCAGTCATTCCATTCATTGAAAAATTAGTATTGAATAACTGTCCGTTAAACAAAATATCTAAATTAATTTGTGAACATCTTCTGAATAATTCGATAAATAATCGACTGACAAGTTGCATTCTTCATAATACTAATGAAAAAGATGGCATTCTTATTGAGGAACCAATTTTATCATTGTATCAACCTCAACATTCACTTGTTTACCTTCGAATTGATGTTCGTGATTTTGCATCGTTGAAATATTTGCTTATGTTTCTTCCGGAATTATCCACACTGGGTAAGTTATTTCAAAATCAATTTTTTACTTTTCTATTTTTTCGAAAAAATTTTCATGTCATAAAGATTTTTTTATATATTATTTATAATGAACAAAATTACATATACATATTTTGAAAGTACTTATTTAATTTGCACATAAGAGATCGAAAGAACCGAACTTTTTTCGATCACACTGGTTTTTTTAGAAGTCAGTTCGAGCTAGCAAAATAAATAGTCAAAACAACTTGTACTTTAGCATTTTAACGGATGATAATCACTTATTTTGACTATCCTTCAGTCAAGGACTCGTTTGTAATATATGAGAGCATGTGATCGAATATATAAGATTACTTTTCAAAATTCAAAACTGCCAAATAATACGAATGGAACTGATGTCATCGGTTGAGGGTTCGATTTGATTTTTGCAAATATTGGTTCTGGTTCGGATCGGTTCGTTTTCGGTCTTTATTTCATATAGAATACTATATATATCGGACTCGTAATTCATCTAATTCATAGTTTTGATGTTACTACAGGGTGTCTCAAAAGTCTACCTTGATATAAAATTAGCATAAGTCTTCAGCTGTTCCAGGGACTCGTATGGGCTTTATATCATTTTATATTATATTCTCTGAAGTTTTATTTCGCCTATTTTTATCGACAACTGTTGTTCAAAATGGTCCATGTTATTTGAAACTTGTAAATCTACTCTTTTCAAAACATTTATAAAAACAGTACATCTACTGTGTTTTTAGATCATCTTGATCTCATCACCAGTTTGTTACATGGATATTTCTAAATATTTTGATATTAATTATAGTGCAAAATACATCATCGATATATAAATAAAAAGTTAATGATGAAATCAAGATGATCTTAGTTGACGATTGATGCACTATTTTATAAATGTTTTGAAAATGGGTAAATTGACATGTGTCAATTGACAGCGATCATTTTAAACAATAGTTGTGGATGAAAATAAGTAAAATAAAACTTTAGAGAATATGCTATAAAATGATGCAAAGTTCATGCGAATCACTCGAATAGCTGAACAATTATGGCAGTTTTATACCACGGCGAACTTTTGGGACACCTTGCATATATGAATTGCATCAATATTAAATTTTTTCCATAAAATTTGTTGTTTTATTCCCATAAACGTTGTTTATCTACATGAAATATATATAAATAGTTGTTATTTAAAGATTGAAGTTATAAAAAACTAATATGAGAATGAAAATTTTTCATGATTGTTAAAGATTTCTATTAAGGCTCGCAGTGACAATTTCGATAAATATAATTATATTATCATAGATGTTCATCTCGGAATTGATGTCACAAAAAGTGATCAAGATCTATTTCCATTATCATTCAATCCATGTCGTCATTTAACTAAATTGGTTTTGAGGTAATTATACATTAAAGATAATAATACAATTAAAATAATGCATCTTATATATGTAGATTACGGAATATGGTTGTGCAAGATTTTATGAGTGTCATTAAATTTATTCTTCTTTTTCGAAACAGTCTTATCACGCTTCATTTAGCTCTTATTCATCAAGATCCAAATGTTCGACGTTCATTGACATACATTGATGGTGATCATCTTTTCAAAGAAATTGTTGTTCAGATGACAATGATGAGAGAATTCTCATTTTTGATTGAAACGACTTGTTTGTGTAATCGACAAATTGACAATATTATTCGATCATTTCAGACGAGTGAGTAAATTATTGTCATACATCTTATATAGTTCCATATTGAGCCATTATCAAATACTCTTTTCGAGAAATTTATACAAGACTAAAATTGCACATGGATTGTGTACACATGAAATAAAATCTTCCAGTTCATATTCCTAATGTTGAAGTATAAGAGGCACAAATTTGTACTTTTGCTTTCCAGACATGATAGATGTCTTAGCAACCCTTCATTATATACACCAGCCGTTAAAAACCCCTCTATTATAGGAGGAGGGTGGAGCGACATCATAAACCTTTTTTTTGGTGGTTTGTGATCGTTATAATTCGCTTAAAGCTTAACTGAAAATGTATATCTATAAAACTCAAGTGATAACATTAAAAAGGAAATTAGTATATTTTCTCATTTATGGTATAAGTAACCAGTTCGATCATGTTTCACATTTTAATCCCGTAGAAATTGAGATAGTTGTTTATATATATATGACATATTTTTTTCGTTTTAACGGCATCTTCTTTTTCTCAAGAACAGCCTGATCAAAATTTCTCAAGCTTACAGGAAAGATTGAACTCGACTAGTAATGCAAAAGTTGTCATAGACTCAGATTTACCAGATAGTTTTTTCTATAAGATATAGTGAATCCTAGGACCAAATCTGACTTGAAATTTCTTTTTTCGCTCACCCTCTCCCGCAAACATCCAGAACTTAATTTTTATGATTGAATTTTTTTCTATAGGAATAGGCGTGTTCCATGAAAAATCTAACTCTGTAAGAGTACATCCGATTTTGACACTATCTGAAACTTAAGAGTTTTAGACTACGCTCTTTCTTTTGTTGACGAAACACTTTTTTCTAAAATGCTCGAAAGTAGGTTTTCTAGAAAGCCGTAGTTTTGACACCAATCGTCATGACAGTTTTTTTTGGCTAACAATTTATAATTATAGAGCAACCAGTTCTCTATAAAATGAGACGTTTCTGAGTTCTCTACGACGTTTTTTGGCTGAGCTACATCAGTTTTAGTGAAAATCAAAGGTCGTTTTTCTGCTAACTCTTCCGAGAAAAACGACAAAAAACAGCCCTTTGACTTTCACCAAAACTGATATAACTCAACCAAAAAATG